ATAATTTCAGCAAAACATCATCATCAATCACATTAAATTAATAGTGGTGCTAATTTGAACTTTATTGGTTTTATGGTTTTGTTTTGGATTTGATATGCAAATGTTTTAGCTTTATAGTTGTAAAACAGCCATAAACATAAAGAGTTATACTTAGTTTTACATCGATTCATATATTAGTGACATAATTTTTATTATCATTCAAGTCCACACTGAAATTTCACGTTTCTTTTCTAAATTTGCAGTTGTTTCTTTTTCTTTTTTTTTTCCCAGTCATTGGACTTGAACTCTGGGCCTGGGTGCTGTTCCGGAGCTCTTCAGCTCAAGGCTAGCACTCTTCTACTTGGGCCACAGGACCACTTCCAGCTTTTTCTGTTTATGTGGTAGTAAGGAGTCAAACCCAGTGCTTCCTGCATACTAGACAAGCACTCCAACACTAAGCCACATTCCCAGCCCAAATTGCAGTTGTTTTCTTTGTAGGCTTTTATAATATATAATATATATATATATAAATTTCATAGTTACATGATCCTAATTTTATGAAAGAAAAACATATCCTCAGAAACTTGTTCTAACCACTTGGCCATCAAATCTGCCTGTACCCATCAAAATGTCACCCAGCATTCCTAGACAAGAGATGCGAACAGTTCTGCCTCCTCTGTACCATGAGAAGCCTGGCTCAAAAAAGTTACCCATATTCCCAACACACTGAACTATCAGCGAACATTTTACTACCACTATTGCTAAAGATGATGGCAATGTCAACTTAATCCTATTAATGGCAAACAGTCTGACAGAAGCAACAATGAGCCAGGGACCATTCAATGTCTGTGACATATTAACTCTTCACTGCACAATAACCCTATTTGACACATGAAGAGAGACAAATAAAAATGATTAAATATCAGCCCAAGTTTATACTGATAGTAAGTGACACATCTAGGATTCAAGCCCTAAGATTAGCAGACATGATTGCTCAGTATTTATAACATACATTCATTGTAACATACATACATTTGCCTCTTCTACAAACAACTGTAACAAAAACTGACATGGATCTCAGAAAAAAAACATCTATAACTAGCATTTCCAAATAGTCTCTACCAAGTAGCCCATTAACTTGAATGTATCAGCAACATAAATTTATTCCAACTCTTAAGTTTCTCCTCTAAGTTAATAATGACCATTTTATTTGCTATTTGAGAAAAATTACTCCCAGTGGTAAAGTCTTTCAATGCTATCCTGCTGCTATTGAAGGAAGAGTTACTTTGTAGATCCTGTTCAAAGTAAGCCCAGGCTTTGATCCTTAATATCCCATGAAGTAAAAGGTTATGCTTAATCTATATTTTATGGATCTAAAAGTCAAATTAGTTTCTGGGATAAACAAGCAAGACTGTGAAGGTAAGCATATTCTCTTATAGTCATTTGATTCCTGGTTTAGAGAATACTATGTGCTGAGTTAAAGACAATTACATTAGTGTAATACGTAGCAGTTTTTTCTAATATTATTCTGCAAGCATAAACAATACATACATGCTAATTTACATTCCCTGTAAAAAGCCAATTTTAAATCCAATTTATAAGGCAATAAATATATAAAGATTCTAGGGACACAGCAATAAAGTTATGCCATAAAGTAGAGTTAATTCAAGACAACAATAATAAAAGCATGACAAATTTTTAGCATTCCACCAACTGCACAAAGGTGTTTCAGGTAACATCTGTTCAGGAGCAATTGCTAAAAGATAGAGTAGATGAGATGCTAGGTTTCACAGTGTAATAAATGTATGTCAGTTTGCTTGCTTCATAATTAAAGGCATGAGTCTTTGAAAAAAAAGCAATTAAGCCTTGCTCTAAATCTGAGACAATCATTCCCCAGCCCCCATCCCTCCTTACCCTGAGAGAAAAGATACATAGCAGTCCAGAAGTATTAAAAACCATATACCATCTAATTTCAGCAGCAAAATGTGCCCCCCTTATAATCCACAGACATTTATTCTTTTGATCAATCATATACTAAAACTAAACAAAAAAAAATCTAGGTTGATTTAAGAGCTTAGGCTAAATTCATTTTGGCTGTATTATTTTGCCCAAATTAACCAATCTCTGGGCCTTGGTTTTTCTATCTATAAATAAAAGGAAAAGAAAGAAAGAAAAAGCAAGAAAGCAAGAAAGCAAGAAAGCAAGAAAGAAAGGAAGGAAGGAAGGAAGGAAGGAAGGAAGGAAGGAAGGAAGGAAGGAAGGAAGGAAGGAAGGAAGGAAGGAAGGAAGCCCCCTCCCCCTCCTACATCTTATTGGGAAAGATAGAAAAGAAAGAATGTCTGGGGAACTTAGAGTAATTTCTTTAAAAAGTGACTATTAGGTTGAATTTTGATATGAATAAAATTCAGGTGCCTGAGGTACCTGAAACCTTCCTCTGAGAACACTACCTCAGTTCTTGACAGTTTAACTCTGGCACAATATAAGGTACCAATTAAGCTGAGGATTTAGTAAAGAAATAACTTTGAGAGGGGAAGGGGACAATACAATACTGAGCTCTATCTTTTCTCAGCTTTCTAGTAACTACAGAAATGATGTATCAGACAAAACAATAAATATGGATTGTTATTGCAGTCACTGTTTATTTCTAGGTTGTAATCTGACTAGTTTGTATCCTTTCAAATTACCAACCTCCCAAAATATTCAAGGTATCCAATGGAGAGATTTAAATGGATCTGATGACTCTCCTAAGACTTTTCAATGTGGTCATGCTTATTTCCTAGAGCAAATGTAACATACTATTACACATTGGTGGCTTAAACATCAGAACTTCATTATCATAGTTCTAGAGGCAAAAAGTTCCAAATCAGTTTCACTAGGCCAAAATCAAAGTGTTGGGGCAGAGATGTTACCCATCTCGGGCTCCAGAAAGACTCTACCTCCAAATACCCAAAGCAGTTAGGCAAAGATGCACAAAGCTCATCCAAACTGCTCTGGTTTCAACTCTGTTTCAGCTCCCACTACAAAAAAAAAAATAAAGTTCTACAATTTTGTGCCTCTTCTTATCTCAGAACCAGGAAAATCCCCAATTCTACATTCACTAAAAATATTACTTTAATCCTAGCTACTCAGGAGGCTGACATCTGAGGTCCATAATGCCACAACAGTCTGGGCAGGGAAGTCCGTGAAACTCTTCTCTCCAATTAACAAGCAAAAAAAGCTAAAAGTAGAGTTGTTGCTGAAGTCATAGAGCACTAGTCTTGAGTGAAAACTCCAAGGGACAGTGCCTAGGCCCCACATTCAAGCCCCCTAGCAACACAAACACACACACACACACACACACACACACACACACACACACAGTGCCTAGGCCCCACATTCAAGCCCCCTACCAACACAAACACACACACACACACACACACACACACACACACACACACACACACACAAGCACACACCCAGTAATAATAAAAATAAAATCATTACTTATTGTCTTGGATGAGAAATGGAGAAATATAGATTTAAACCCCAGCTGATGGCTCCAATCTATCAATCTAACTGTTCCACATGAAAACCACCATTTGAAGCCAGCACAGGGAAGATAAATCTGTAAGACTCTCTTCCCCAATTAACCAGCAAAAAGCCAGAAGTGGAGGTGTGACTCAAGTAGTACAGCACCAGCTGTCAGGAAAAAAAAAAAAAAAAACAGCCACATGAGACCCTAGGCCTGAAGTTTTAAAAAAAAGGACTCAGAGCTAAAACCTAGAACTGGTATCAAGTTTATTGAGTCTACTGAATTCTATCTACCTTCACAAAGGGTTCACCCCAACACCTGCATGGTCCTCACAGCCTCCTCCAACAGTACTGTCTTCCCTTACTAGCAATCCCAAGTACCTTAATACTCAATGCTTAATAAATTTTCTACTGAAACCAATCTGGTTACTTCACAAACAGTCCAAAATCAGTTGATAGTGCAGACAAATTACCATGTGATTACACTGGGTCAATGTCAACATGTTATATTTCTGCGAGAGGTCCTGTGCCACAATCATTGTTACATATCCACCAGTGACTTGAAGTCCAAAACTGTCCTTCAATAGAAAACACAGATTTGTCTGTTTTATCAGGACTCAATATAAAAGCAGGATTTCAGTGGGGAAGAGAGTTCTTGTTTTCTTAAGCTGATACAGGAGTAAAGTGACCAGTTTAACACAGTCCTAGTACCAGCTGGCAGCTTTGGAGATGTATGCAGAATAATGAATACAGAATACTGAACTAATTATTCCCATCCTTGTCACACTGCCATTCTAAGATCTAAAAAAAAAGCAATTCTAAGATCACACTGAGTGAACAGAAGAAGTCATGCATATCACTTCATCTGGATTCAGAAAGGGCCAAGAACTGACTAGACATCTGATAGCAGATGAACTACAAAACTATCACTACTTCAGGCACTGCTAGGATCTGTGATTGTCTCAAAGATTGCCATCTTTCCCTCAAAAGAGACTTTCTGGGGTAGAACACCAGGAGCAGTGAGAAAGAGGTACATGGGGAAAAGCCGTTTAGAAAGCAGCCTGTAACCGGGCACCGGTGGCTCACGCCTGTAATCCTAGCTACTCAGGAGGCTGAGATCTGAGAATCACGGTTCAAAGCCAGCCTGGGCAGCAAAGACCGTGAGACTCCTATCTCCAATAAACCACTAGAAAACCGGAAGTAGCACTGTAGCTCAAGTGGTAGAGCACTCGCCTTGAGCTGAAGAGCAGAGTGACAGCTCCCAGGCCCAGAGTTCAAGCCCCATGACCGAAAAAAAAAAAAAAAAAAAAGAAAGCAGCCTGTAGATTGAAATGGTTTCTGGCCTTAGGCCAGAAACAGATGGGTAAAACCAAGCCTAAAATTCCAGTCTGTCCCAAGAATCTCATCTCAAAGGCCCAGGGCAGTGGCTCAACCCTGTAATTCCACCTACTCAAGAGACAGAGATTGAGAGGATCAAAGTTTGGAGCCCAAGAAATATAAACAGTTCTGCAGTACTTGCTTTAGCAGCACATATACTAAAATTGGAATGATACAGAGAAGATTAGCATGGCCCCTGTGCAAGGATGCGGAGCAAATTTGTGAAGTGTTCCATGTTTTTTACACAGGATGACCATTGCAACAAGTTACTCACAAGACACTGTGTTGGAAATGAACTTTGCAACTTGGGAGGGGGGTAGTAAGAGAAAAACAAAGGAGGAGGTAACAATGTTCCACAAGAAATGTACTCATGATCTTACTCATGTAACTGTAACCCCTCTGTACAGCATCTTTACAATAAAATAAAATTTAAAAAAAAAAAAAGTTCTGGAGACCCTGCACTGCGGCAAGTAGGTGAGACATGGGGACAGATGCCTTGATTCCAGCTACAACGGAAGCTGTAGATAGGAGGATCATAGTCTGAATCTGGCCCCTGACAAAGACCTGACCCTACCTGAAAAATAACCAAAACAAAAGAAAAAGGAGGACTGCAGCTGTGACTCAAATAGTAGAGAACTGCCCAGCAAACACAGTACCCTGCCCAGAGTCAAACAGCAGAATTACCAGCTCCTTCTTCCCTCCCCTGCCCACATAGAATGCTTACAAAGATCAACAAGCAAGCAGAGGGCAAGCCACCATGCAGTCAAGCTAATGAGAACAGTACAAAGTCTGAATACACCAGAACTCTCAAAAGCAGTTAAATAGGAAAAGTCTAAGCAGGTAAATTAACAAGAAACAAAATACTGTCAAAATATCCAGCAGATCTTAAATAATGCAACTGGAAAATAACAAAGTAAAATTAATAAACTCAAGTACCCAAAACTTATACATATACATATACATATACAACATATTAGTAAGACATGGCTGATGACAGAATGGATGAATTGGAAGACAGACCTAAAGAAAATTACAAAGTAAGCAACATTATAGACGTAATCTACATTAATTTCAGAGATCACTATAAGTCTAAACTACTTCTAAATTAACTATAGTCATGATTCAAAACAAACCCCCCCTACAAGAACAGCACTTTAGATGTGCGTATTCCTTATAGAGCTTACATTATTGTCTTAGAGGCATCATTTCATCGTTACATTCCTTTTAAGAAATGTCATGCTCAAAAGCTATCTACAAATTCAATGCAATATCCATCAATATTCCAACATCATTCTTTAATGAAATAGAAGAAGCAATCCAGAATTTCATATGGAATAACAGAAGACCCTAAATAGCAAAAACAATTCTCAGCAGGAAAAACAGTGCTGGAGGGATCAATACCAAACTTCAAAAAACTTCAAACTCTATTATAAAGCCACAGTTATTAAAACATATTGGTACTGTCGTATGAACAGGCCTGAGGGCCAATGGAATAGAATAGAAGACCCAGAAATGACCTATGGCCACTTAATCTTTGATAAGGGAGCCAAAAATTGGGGTGAAAGAAAAGTCTCTTCAACAAATGGCACTGGCAGAATTGGCTATACACATGCAGAAAACTGAAGCTAGATCCTTACAAATCACTCTGCACCAGAATCAATTCCAAATGGATCAAAGACCTCAATGTAAGATCAGATCCCCTGAAAATATCACAGGAAGGGATAGGGGAAACACTAGGGCCTTGGCACAGGTCGAAGTTTCATAAGTAAAGATCCAGAAACACAACAAATCAAAGAAAGGCTGGATTGCATTAAACTGCCAAGCCTCTGCATGGCAAAGGACATAGCTAGCAAGACAAATAGAAAGTCCACAGAATAAGAGAAGATTTCCAACAGACATAAGGCTATATACCTAAAATATACTTAGAGTGCAAAAAATTAAACTCCCCACAAAGAAATCCTCAAAGGAACAACCAATCCATTAATAAGTGGGCTAAAGAATTAAAAAGAGACTTCTCTGGAGAGGAAATAAGAATAGTCAATGGAGACGTAGAAATGCCCAACATCTCTGGCCATAAAAGAAATGCAAATCAAAACTACATTGAGATTCCACCTCACCCCAGTTAGAATGGCCATTATCAAGAAAACAAATAATAATAGATACTGGTGGGGATATGATCAACCACTCTGGAAAGCAGTATGGAGGTTCCTCAAAAGACTAAACATAGATCTCCGCTATGATCCAGCAATCCCATTCCTGGGCATTTGCCCAAATGATCACAAACAAGGCCACACTAAATCTACCAGCACAACTATGTTTAGCGCAGCATTATTCCCCATAGCTAAGATATGGAACCAACCCAGATGCTTTTCAGTAGATGAATGGTCACGAAAAAGTGGTGCATATATACACAATGGAATTCTATGCTTCTATCATGAATGACATGGCCCCATTCGTAAGGAAATGGAAAGACTTGGAAAAAAGCATATTAAGTGAAGTAAGCCAGACCCAAAGAAATATAGGCTCCATGGTTTCCCTCATTTGTAATAATTAGTATATGTCTAGGATAGTCCTAGCAGAGGATCACAATGGCTCAATAGCTATATACATATAACCATATAAAATGATGCTAATAAATGATCTCCATGATACAGAAACAAGAGGTTTTGTGTGTGTATGAGTGAGTGTGTGTGCGTGTGCATGGGCGTGTGTGTGTGTGTGTGTGTGTGTTTTTTTCCTTTTTTTTAGTGTATTGTTTGCAGGTTTGGTGTTTGTGTGTGTGTGTGTGTGTTTGTCTTTTTTTTTTTCCTCTTCTGGTTTATTCCCTGTGGTCACTGTTTCTGATTTCAGAACTCTTTGTCTTGTATATAAGTTTATCTGACTTGAGGAAGGGAAGGGGACAAAGGGTGAACCAATGCAATAGCAACACTCACTAAACACTACATTGGAAATGAATTTTACAACTTGGGGAAGAGGGGGGTAGGGAGGGAGGGAAAATGGGAGAAAACTGCTTGAAAAGAAATGTACTCATTACCTTATTTATGTAACTGTAAACCCTTTGTACATCACTTTTACAATAAAAAAAGACTGTGAATGACCAACAAGGAAAACTGAAGAAAGAAATTAAAGAAGGTATTTAAAAAATGGAGAAATTCTGTGTTCATGGAATATGTAAGAATCATTATTAAAATGTACATGTTACTAAAGTGATCTGTACAGAAAGAGAAAGAAAAGAAAGAAAGAAGAAGGAAGGAAGGAAGGAATGAAAAAGAAAAAAGAAAGAAGGAAAGAAATGACATGCTATGACCAACATTTAAGTGTTTTCTTCTTTGAGTCTCCTTGTCAGTAGTAACAGAAAATCACACATCTACTCTGAACCATTACAGTTAAAAATTAATTAATTAATTTAAAAAGTGAGATTGATATCCCAAAAGTAGGTTATAAAAGGAAGAAACATCCTCAAACCACTGAATTCTTCTCATATTGAACAGTATTTTTCATTGCTAAATTAACTTTTTCATGTTCATTCTTCAAACCACTCAAAATAACAATGATCAATTATAGACAACAATTCTACAGAATGTCTCCATTTTGATGCTTAATTTAGCATAATTAATCCATACTATCCTTCATTTTCAATATTTGATATATTTCATACCTCACTCATTTTATTAAATATTATTTTAAAGTAAATGTCATACTTAGCAATTGGTTCACAAGCAATTATTTCCTTAATTTGTGAGTCATAACTTCCATTATTCAAGTTCACTTGTCCACAACAGCAGCGAACGCTATACTATGGGCTTAAAAAATAAAAAATAAAAACTGGTTTTCCATACTAAATATAATGGAAGGGTCAGTACTAAAATTTCAACTTTGTAGAATTCATATCAAAACTGCAACTCATATATAATTTACTTACACTCAAAATGAAACTACCATCACTCTCTTCTTTAACTAGCTGATATCATTAAAAAAAAACTAAGATGTAATATAGTCAAGACATACCGTTGAGTGTTAATGGAAATAAGCAAACTGAACCTGAGTAACGAAGTTTCAAGTTTGAAATACTTGCACTTCTTTCCAAACTAAACAAAACATTCTTTAGCAGTGACTATCAGCCTGCCAAGTTTCCAAATGAGCTGTTACAACTGGAAGGAAGGAAGGAAAAAAATGTATCCATCTTAAAACTTCCTTACTGGGTTAAAATATGCAGCAGAAAGCCTTGCTTACAGCCTATAACCCCAAATACTCAGGAGACTGAGAGCTAGAGTATCCTGGTTCAGAGCCAGAAGGGGCAGAAAAGGAGGTCGCAAAAAACAATCAGCAAAAAGCTGGACTGGGGGCGTGGCTCGTTTGGGAGAAAGCCAGTCATAAGTGAGCAAATAAGCAAACGTGCGCGCGCAGGGGTCGGCACAAAACTCAGTTGCCTTTGTCAGAAGACAGAACCCGACCCTGGCCCGGTGGCCCGGTGGGGACCGGAGACTCAGGATGAACAGCACAAAATGAGGGCAAATGCTGGGTGGAAGGACACATCCACATCCCCTCCTCCCAGATCCCGGGTCCCACCCGAGACCTGGACCAGCCCGGCCCCCGGTTCGGACGACACTTACGAATTTGGGGCGCTTCTCCCCGGGCTCCTCGGGGCCCGCAGGGTGCTGGGGGCCCTTTCTGCGCGGAGTCCGGCCGTCCCGGCAGCCGCGCAGCGAGGCGGAGGAGGGGTGCGGGGCCGCCGCGGGCGCGCCGGAGGCAGGGGGCTGCATCCGCGGCCGGCGTCGCTCCATCCTTCGTGGCGCGGAGAGAAGGCTCAGCTCACGCGATCCAGACGCCCGAGGGTCCCGGAGGGTTCGCTTTCCCGCACCGCGGCCCAGGTGGTCAGACCTGCCTAGTACACAACCGCTGTGGCAGAGTGCCGGGCCAACACATCCAAAATCTCCCGCCACTGAGCTCAGCCCCGGATTGGCCAATCACGCGCTTCACTGGGTCAATTCCCCGACAGGGCACCGCCCCTTCCGGAAGAATTCGAATACAATTGGCTGTCCTGCCTGCCTATTGTCTACTATTCCACCCTTCTAGCTGTCCTAGCTTCTCGTCTTAAAGTCGTAGAGGGAAGTCAGGTTGGGAGAACTAAAATGAAAGTCAACTGCCTGGATGCGTTTGGACTTCAGAGAAACATTTTTCTTAAAACTCAAGGGCAGTGGCTTGGTAGAATGCGTGCCTAGCATGCATGAGGCCCTGGGTTCAATTCCTCAGTACCACGTAAAGAGAAAAAGCCGGAAGTGATGCTATGGCTCAAGTGATGAGTGCTAGCTTTGCCCAAAAGCTCAGAGACAGTGCCCAGGCTCTGAGTTCAAGCCCCAGAACTGGCAAAAAAAAAAAAAAAATTGAATGCAAACTTGAATATGGATCTGGGAGCCCGTGGTTCGTGCCTGTAATCTTAGCTACTCAGGAGGCTGAGATTTGAGGTTTGAAGCAAGCCTGGGTTGGAAAATTGGTGAGATTATTTCCAATTAAGCATCAAAAAATCAGAAGTAGAGATGGAGCTCAAATGGTAGAGACTAGCCTTGAGCAAACCATCTCAGAGACAGCTTCCAGGCCCTGAGTTCAATCCCAAGTACGGAACCAGGAAAAAAAAGTGTTTAATGTAGAGGAAAAATCCAGTGTGCCAGCTGTGCTGCAACGTAAAACGTTTCACTAAAGCTCTTGCTGGTTTCTAGTTAAGCTAGGATTGGATTGCCACTAGGAAAAGTATATCCATGCTTACAGCAGCAGCAGGAGAGAAAATAACACCCAGTGGACAGAATGTTTAGAAAGGATGTTACTGTTGTTTACAGAGTGCTTAAGACTTAGTTACTTACCCAGAAGCTAAAACATGTTGCTGGCAGGGAAGATTGGGAGGAGGCAGGACATATAGAAGGAAGAAGGGTGAGCAATTCCAGTCATTCAGTGTACATTATGCAAAACTTGAGGTATATAACTTCAGGTTAGGGATGGGATGGGAAAGATGGGGGAGAATGCTGGAGGTAATGACATGGTTCAAAATGCATTGTACTCAAAGTCTGACTTTATGGAATCGAAGCCCCTTTGTACAACTACTTAATAAAATTTAATTAATTAATTAATTTTACTGAGTTAATGCCTGCAAAGTATTTCAGTACTGAGTATTTGCTCTGACATAGTAGAAGGGTCCCCAAAAAATCAGCCTGACTAAACCATACCTTAAACATCTCACAGTTGAATGTGGTTTATGAATATTTCAGCAAACAACACAGTATTGTAAATGTTCTTACAATTTCTTTGTTTGTTCATTTTACAGAGTAAATCTGAAGCAGAAGATCTGGAAAGGCAAAAGGCAAAATACAGGGCAAGAGAGTGGCAGGCCAATCCAATAAAAGGCATTCTATGCAAAACAAGGCCAAGAAGGGTCAAGAACACAGACCTGAAGTAGCTTCATAGACCTATAATGAAGGTACCCAAACCAAATGCTGCAAAACTTGTTGCATATATGCCAAAGGCCAAGCAATAAACTAATATAGTTTTCTCCAACATCAGTGTTCATTTTCTACTTTTTCTTTTACCTATTTCCTTAAATTATTCATCTTCTGACAGTATGAAGGTGACATAAGCCAAGGTTCTGGTAAAGACACACTATTGATTTTGGTACAAGAAACAACTGGAAGTTCTTGAGGGAGATTAGCACAGAAGTTTAGAAAGATGGGCCCTAGTTCCAAGTAAATCATGTTACAGCTTTTCTGGTTTTGATAGTTTGGGAGGGCTTTTTTGTTTTGTTTTTAATGATTGTTTTTACTCTGCCAGATTCTCTGTACCACTTTCTGTCTTCAAAGAGCACCTGATCTTTAGGGCAATGTCTAAGAGTTCAACAAGGTTAGGCAAGCTAGCAGTACGTATTCTGTTTCATGACAGACCACGGTATGTTTTATCCTTCCACTGACAATCTATGCAATGTTGGACATGATCTTTACCTATTTTTTCTTCTCTTTGCAAAAGGTGAATTAAAATTATAATATCTACCAAAAAGGGTACTTTTACGCTTTATGAGACAGCATATATGAAGCCTTTCCTCCCAAGTATCTTCCAGTCATAGAGCAATCAATACTTATAGTTGAAACAAATCAGATTTACTAAGTAGTGGGGACAGTTCAGTAATTGTGTATTCTATCAATCTTACATAAGAGCATGACAGATCAAAGAACAAGGCTAAAGTTGTCATCAATAACTCAGGAATCATTCCTATGTAGGATGGAGGAATCTGAGGTGGAAAAAAGACAAAATTACAGCAAATTTCATGTAAAGATCTTATTGACATAACAGCAACACTACATTCTACAATTTACTGCGAGCATCCAGATGAACTGAGCAAAGTAGTTTGGCTTTATCAACAACAAGGATGCTGAGGAAGGCAAAAGAGTGAACAGTAGATTGGTTACCTCAAAGCTTCTTTCCCCATAGGGTTAAAACAGAGGGAACTTTCAGGCTTGCTCAAGGAATGTGGTTCCTTTCTGATTAGTTGGTATGAAACTTCTGGTATTTTTAGAAACTAGTCTGTTGGGACCCAATCTTAATGTTAGGACCCAGTGAGCCTATGTGATTCCACCCTGGTTAAAATCCATCTTGTTGTTTACAAGTTTAGGAAAAATGTAGATTGCAAGTCTCTGATAATAGAGCCTAGAGGCCAGGTGGACACATCAGTAAGGAGCACATATGTAACAGACCCCTACCAAGGAATGCAAACCCCACCTCCCTCTTCCCACCAAACCCAGGCACCAAAACTGACCAAAGTGGTAGGCTAGTTTAAACAACTGCTTAGGGTAAGTTGTAACCTCATTGGTCACCTGCATGTGACCAGCCTAAACCATATGGCCTCTTCCCCATAAAAGTTAGCCCATGTTAACTGGGCTGGGTTCGCTCTCTGCCGAGGCGACCCTCTCCAGTCAGTCTGTTTCTAGATGCTTGGCATGAAATATAGCTTTGCCTGACTTTTGCTTTGTTTCAGTCTCGTTCCTTTGATCACAGATCCCAATATTGGGGGGTCACCCCAATATAGTCCATTTCAGAATAAAAGCTAACTATATAAAGCTAAGCACGAGTGAGTCCATCGTAGTTTGGAGTGATCTGTTAGAGCTTACTACAAGACCTTGGTCCAAAACTAAACAGACCATGATGGCTTTCCATTAGTTTATTTAACATTAGTATTTTATTATTTGCAAATTGACTTGTTTTTTGTTTGGTGACATGAAATTAGGAAGTGGTCATGTTTTGTCTCATTTCATCATGGTCACATAATGAGTTGGATTTTGTAAGATGCTGTGCATTAAGAGAGCATAACTAGGCTTTGAGTGCCAGGCTGTTACCTAGCTGTGGGTGTCAAAAGCAAGCCTGGTAAAGCTTAGAAAACTGGAATGCCCATGATTAACATATCAATTACCCAATGCAACCTCATGAGGATTCATTCAGGATTCTGAGGATACTTAAAGGAAGGAATTGATCATTCCCAATCGATGGCAAAAATGTTGTTAAGTTATCTCAGTAACCAGAAAACAGAGAAGCCATACTTTGAGAAGTCAAATTGAGAGTCGTTATTGGACAGCCAGCCTTTGCAGGTGGACTCCTGTCTCAAAGACCTGCAGCCCCTTGAATACACTTAACATTGTTAGAAAACTGAACCATGAAAGCAGGAGAGGAAAGAAAGTGTAAGGTCCACCTTGGAAAGGTAGGGAAGACTCTTCCCTCATCTTGGCAAAGTTTCAGCCCAGTACCTATATCACCTAGGTAACTGGCACACCTAGAGGCAGTCACCTCCCTGTCCTCCCAGGTCATATCCTGGGCCACCCCACTCTTGCCTCCCATTGGACCATGGGAGGGTCCCAGGCACTGTGGTCACATCCACACCCAGTGTGGCCATACCTACCCCATACCTGGTCACACATGGCTGAACTTTCTCCCCTGCCCTTCCCTATTTAAACCCAGGCAGCCATCAGCTTACCCCTTTGGGCACCATATGTAAGGTAAATTAAATAGGTTGGTTTAATTAGGTAGCTGATGAAGTGAACACCACATGGTATTGAAGCAGGAAGAGAAGCTTATTTTATTACCAAACTGCTGTATGCATGGTGGAAAGCACATCACTGAAAGATGCAAATGATATCTGTATGGGTTTAAGTAGGGAAGAGAGTGAAGGGAGTGGGACTAAGGTACGGCCAGGTTTGGTCAGGTGGCAGGGAGGTGTGGCCACACTGGATGTGGATGTGACCTCAGGGCCTGGGTCTTTCCCATAGTCTGATGAGAGGTGTGAGGGGGGCAGCCCAGCATGGGCCCCAGGAAGAGAGGGGGGTGACTGCCTCCAGGTATGCCAGTTACCTAGGTGATACAGGTACTTAGCAGAGACTTAGCCAAAAGGAGGGAGGAGTTTGTCCCACCTTCTCAGGGTGGACCTACAGAAAGAACAGTAAAACAATACCAACAAACCAGATATCAGCTCCAATGGAGAGTTGAAGTGGACAGGAGACGCGAGAGACAGAAGCATGAGGTAATGAAGCCTGAATTTGTCTGCACCTAAATACTGTCATGGATGGGGGCAAGGTCACGGGAAACTCAAGATTCTTCCAAGTTCAAGGCAGAGGACTGACAGATCCAGTAACCTATCCTCTAAGTCCACACCTTTGTGTCTAAGAGTTCAGGCACACCCATCACCTGGCAAGTGGGACTTCCCCTTCCTCCACCATAAAGACAAGATGGCACCAGTTAAACCTAATTCCCTGTCCACCATATGGCCAAGATGGCGCCGGTTAGACTCGGCATCCCCACAGAAAGAAAGAAAGA